AACTGTTGTACTGGTGACTTATGCAATGCAGCCTCAGCTCCATTGATCAGTGGTTTCATCATCATGACATGCGCACTGCTCGCAGCTTTCTTTTAATTTGCACATAACTGATCAGACCTCTGAGGCGAACCAGCTCAAGACGTTTGATTTTTGGGACAGTTCAATTAATGCACATTTTTCTTTAAATATTTGGTAATAAAATTGTAAAAAAAAATCGAAAAGCACTATAATTTGTTAAATATTTGGTAATAAAATTTAAAAAAACTCGAGAAGCACTATAATTTTCCTTGCTTCTCTCGGAGCTAGAGAGAACCATGACATGCGCACTGCTCGCAGCTTTGTTTACTGATCAGACCTTTTGAGGACTACCAGTTCAAGATTTCTATCATTTGATTGATTGACGTAGAACTTTAAATTGATAACAAACACATCGCGTGACAGTCACCTCTGAATATGGTCCAAACCTTGATCAGCAGAGTGTGAGAGTCTCGAGTTATTTCAGGAAATGAGCCGAAACAACTGCGGAGTGCGTCACTTTTCAAATCAAAGGTTTGACATAGAGGCTTTAGTTCTGATATAAATATGTAACGCAGGCTATAAAACGTTTGAGTGCAAAAGAACTGATAATTACCGTCAAATTGTATGAAACGGAACCTTCGTTTCGCCCCATGTAAGAGAATCCAGAGAACTAGAGGATTCCGGATTCGAAGCGCTGGATTCCGGATTCCGAAACATTGGATTCCGTATTCCAAGCTTTGGTATTCCGGATTCCAAAGAATTTTTGTTTTGGATTCCGGATAATAAATGGTGTGATTTTCAATTTTTTTTTCCCTGAAAAATTTATATTCAGCGTCAGTAGCCTGCGCAGGGCGTCGGCAACGCAAGCAAGTCTCCAATATTTGCTACACCGTCTGACAAACAATCTACGTATATGAAGTACAGTAAAGTACAGGATACTCAGTTGGATGCGCGTTTCCATCTCTAGAGAGCTAGATTTTCACCGATAAAAGCAATCCGTTCCTAACTATCCGGATTCTGGATTCCAGGGTAGGGATTCCGGATTCCAGGACAGGGATTCCGGATTCCAAACCTTTTTTTTACTGGATTCCGGATTCCGGATTCTCTTACACGGGGTGATTCGTTTACTAGGAAAAATCGAAAAGATCCTAGATTCGCCACTTGAGAGTAAAGAAGTGATTTGGTCAGATCAGATTGCTGTTGGCCTTTATTTGTTTCATTTTCTATGACAATGCTTTTGGAGAGACTCAATAATTCACAGTCTTAAGCAGGTCAATATTGCCGTTTACCCTGTCAGCATAAGCCATATATTTACCCTGAACCGCGACGCTAGATATTCAAATCACGTTGCCCGAGTAATAGTCGTAGGGGAGAGWGACCTGGGAACGACCCTCATAACGGCTTCGAGAGGAGACGTCTCTCAATCGACTTGACTGATACAAAGAATCATTGTCAATCGCTCAGTTACGCTCTTCTCTGCACACTATGCGTTTTCAAGTGGCAGTTGTTATGATTGTTGTTGCAATGCAAACCGGACTTGAAGGTAAGTCAAAAAGTCAATAAAATATTATCATCTTCAAGTGCTCACCAACGTGTAACAGTGTCTCTTCGTTAATTTTGATTTGTCAAGATTCAACGCAAACTTCATGATACAAATAAGACGAAGTCATTCCGGTTTAATATAAATTCATCATACCATGAGGAGGAATTTGATCTTGTTTTAATTCTGTTAGTACTCCGACCTATACTGACATTGACTGAGAGATCAGTCAGGGTTCAGTTATGTCTTGAAAGGCATGTAAACATTTACTTTTTTAGCAAAACATATAAAAAGTAAATAGCTCTTTACGAAAGAGCTTCCATAGAAAATAGCAGCCGTCTCACATCGTCTAACGCTTRGTGTTTTGATTTAATTAAAAGTGTCTCTATGAGAGAGCAGATGGAATTCGATGGAATGACGGCACTTCTTGTACTGATTTTCCGCATTTCATCGACGTCATGCGGGCCAGAAGTCCAGAAACATCCTCTTCAATTTCAAAAGTTTCACTAAAAATTACATTAAGTCGCATTATTTCTATCTTTTCTATGTGTACATACATTATTTATTATTTGAGTCTCATGGCTTTTCAGATGTCTGAAGTGAAATCTTCTGAACAYGTACACGAAACTCGGTCCAAACGACTGATATATTGAAAAACAAAAGCAAATATTCTTTCCTAAGATACAGTTATTAATTCTAGAAYGTTATAAACCAAACTGTTTAAGCCTGCAGCTCGAAATAAGCTAGATATACAATTTGCTTACTAAATTTCTGTACCTAAAACGTGGTCACAACTTGACACCGCAGGTGGCATTACAAACCCGACTAATCCCGGGATCCCCCCTCCCCTCCCCTGCCCTGCCCTGCCTTTCTTACATTTCAGAGGATCTAGATTGCATGTTGATGGAATATYATTGATACTGGTATTGTAGTAAAAGCCATCAAGTGCTATGAATGTGCTTCTACAAAGGACTGGGAAACTTGCAATAAAGCCATGACGGAGAATACATGTTATGCTGGTGTAAATAGCTGTATGAAGACGAAAATTTACGCGGAGGGGACCTCTTATGCAGAACATCTGAAGTTGTGCAGCAATGCTTGTACAGAAGAGCAAATTCCTCTGTGTAATAAAGAGTTTCATGGTGAGTGTTCATTACAAWTAAACCATCAATCAAAGAATCAATCAATCATTCAATCAATCAAGATTGTATAAGAGAAATGACAGTGGTTAGKTTTGTTTTGTTTTGTTGTTTCGATTGAGTAGAGAAAGTAACGAAAATAAATTCTCCTATCAACAGGTGTGAAATACAAATGTGAAATCAACTGCTGTAAAGATGACTTGTGTAATGAAGGCTCAGCTCCAGTAATCAGCGGTTTCCTCATTATGATATGCGCATTGCTTTCAGGTCAAACCTTTTTTTGAATTCGAGCCAGCCAGTACGTTTTTGAATAGTTAGACTTTCCATGACCATTTTATACTTGAACTAGCCTGACTAGACTAGCTATTAATGTTTTATTACAACATTATTGACTGATTACGATGACCCCGTAATCATTACTTCAGTATTCTTCACGGTTGCCATTGCCATCTTGGAAAGTAGCCGTRCCTTTGACTATCGAAACGGGACAACCGTTGAGCGTGCAATGATATAAAACGTCTTTCACACCGACAGGTAATTATTCACAAGTATTTATCATTGCTAGCTCAACGGTGGTAGTGCCGCTTTGATGCGGAATGTATACCACTCAAGATGGCAAAGGGAAACGTGACTATTAAGATCATTTTTTGAAATAAAAGTCTATTTTTTACGAAGTGTAATTAAGCTTGATGGATTGATGAAATGCTATATGCTGCTACATCTTGTTTTGAMGTTTTGTCGTTCGTTATTACGAAGCACGCGAAAATAGATACATTAAAACAAAACAACAACCAAACGATAGTCGCCTCCCACGCCCAATGCTTTACCGAGGAAGGATTAACACAACACAACCAATTGACTATTGTAAGGGATTGTGGGGACTCACCCTGTGTGGGCATTTAAAAGCGACTAATTTAAGTCAATTAGTACATGCATTCTGCATGATCGGTTACACGACTGTGACGTCATATCATGAGCCGCCATCTTGGAAATCTTGGAGAAGAGAGTTGAGTTGTTGAAAGACTTTACAGTTGATTAGTTTATCTGTGAAGTTATGAATATTTTTTCCCTTTGTAATTAGTAAGTATTAAGTGCATGTACTCTGGTAACAATGATGATAATAATGATGACGATAATGATGACGATGATGAAGATGATGGTGATGATAATGATGATAATGATGATGATGATAATAATAATGATGATGATGATGATGATAATGATGATGATAATAATGATGATGATGATAATGGTGACGATAATGATGACGATGATGAAGATGATGATGGTGATGATAATGGTGATAATGATGATAATGATGATGATAATGATGATGATAATGATGATAATGATGATGATGATGATGATGATATGCTGATGCTGGGTGATTTCCTGTTTTCAAGCGGTGTGATACCTTAAGAATTCTATGGTTTGTAGGCGTTGGAGCTATTTTTATCGCTGATCAATAGAATGGTTTAAGGCACCTACCACGCATATTGTTATTGCAATTGTAACATTATAGAAATAATCTGTTATAGTTTCGTGGCTAGGCACGTCATCGCCAAGCACTAAGAAACGATACTTTTCATTTATAAAGTATTAATACAGGACCCTGACACACTCAGTTGTAAAAGGAAACGCCGTCAATTCGTGTCGAGACAAAYATCAAGGAAGGTAAGGAAAAAAACACCCTAGACTACTTCACATAAACTTGCTTTTACCTGAAGCTATATTAAGATGTTTCTTTTGGTTTAATTTTAGCTGAATTATTTATTTTGTTATCTATTTTCRCCCCTTCACTTAGACTTGTTACCCAATCGATGGGCTACTATCATATATTTTATCATCATTATCAATGTTATCAAAATTGCCTATAGATATCCCATGGCATGCTCAAGGCTGCAACAACATAAGCGATATATGCTATATATCTTTGTATTCTATCAGATGTCTATTTTCTCGTTTTTAATTGATTTTTTGCTTGTATCCTATTTTGYCCAATTTTTTTTATTAATCCTAAAGTATACAGTTGTTTTCTTCATCGTGCTCAAATGCAAAATTACGTTCAACTTCCGTTATATCTACCCGCGGCTAAACTTTGTTTCCTTCTATTTTTGGAACAGAAAACTCTGCATGCTCTTGGATGTTTTTATATGTCTGTGTATTCAAAAAAGTGCCCAGAGAAAGGACAGTGGATGTCATAAACAAAAGCTCAGTAAAAGTCCTTACGTCAAAGTGATTTTTAAGGCAACAATGTTTTTTTCTAACGAAAACAGGCCATCCGATGTTTGTAGCATATTTTCTTCCCTGACGTGATTTTACCATCACTCAGTGTGGGWGTATTTTGACTTTCCTATCAAACAAAAACGTTAATTAACTATTTTTACGAAGAAAACGTTTCATGGTTAGGAAGCCATCGACATTTTTATTTGAAAAAAGAATAATCGACGCCCACGTTAATCTAGCAATGTTTTTGAAAATGTCTTTGCTAGTTTTGAACGAAGCAACACGCTTTACCGCAAATCAGATTGAGCTGTTGTGTTCTTTCTTAAAATATCATAAAAGTATTTCCTTGCTTCTAATAAAAAAGAAATGACAATCTCCTTGACAAACTTCCTCCCCGACATATATCTCTACGCTCTATCTACTTATTCTTAGCTGTTATTATAAAAAAAACTGCTGGTAGGGCGTATAGTGGTACGTATGGTGTTAAGTTGCTTGTCGGTTAGTGTTTGGYTAGAAGAGTGGTCACTGAGATGGTTGGTTTGTCAGTTAGTAAGATGGAAATCAATGTTTTGAGAACAATCAATTTGGTTATGTGGTTGATCGGATGATAGAGATGAAACTGTATTCTGTATGGTTGTTCTTTAGGAAATTTTTTGGTTCGAAGTGGTTGGTCGTTAAATCCGTGGGTTGGGCACCGTTTGGTTTGATTGTCAATTTATTGCTTAAGTTCGGAGTTGCTTAGCTAGTTGATATTTGGTGGGATGGATATGCGAATAAATTTGACAGCTTTTTTTCTTGCTTATTTTATTTGATATACACAGCTTATTTAATTAAGTTTTCGAGTCCTCGAAAAAGATGAAAAAGATGATATATCATCTGCGTTGAAATTGCGTATTAGTTCTTTTTAAATTCAATGGCAATGTAACAGAAAACATCAAAACTTGGAAAATATAGATTTATAAGAACTGCTTTCTTACGGAAGTCGTTCAAAGCAGCTCGTGCCATATACAGTGTATTTAAACGTATTTATCTACAGTATTTAAACATATTTATCTACAGTATTCAAACATATTTATCTACAGTATTTAAACATATTTATCTACAGTATTTAAAYCTATTTATCTACAGTACTTTTTGGTCTCATTTTTGTGTTCTGTTTGTTTGTTTGATTATTTTTCTATTATTATATTTTTTTTAAAAAATTTGTTTAATTTCAAATCCCTTAATCGACAGCATGACGAATAAATTCTTCTCTCTCCTCCTGGTYTTCACGTGTCTAACATTGATAACCGCTGTACAGTTTGAGCAGACGATCAARTGCATTGAATCTTGCCAGTCATCTGTAGGCTGCCTTGAGAGATGTGGCACCATAAAGTGCTTTGAGAAATGCGAGCGAATAAGCCACGATTGCTACTTGTTTGCCAAATGTAAAGACGAAACATCCTCGAGYMATTTGTGCCAGCGGTGTGATCGCTTTCTTTTACAGTGTCTGAAAAAATGTCCTTARCCGAACACCTCATWGTGGAATTGCAGAACTATTTGAATGATCTAGGAAATATTTAAACGCGTAGCCGAAACGAAYCGTTCTCGGCTACGGCKCGGTTCCATGTCGATGATAAAAGAATGGTAGACTACTGTAATCATTGATTGTTGAGTTATCTGTTGATCAGTTATTAATCAGATAAATATGATGAATTATAGAAATATACCAACAATTGYAATAAATGAGAAAGTACTTGAAAAGGCTTGTTCAAATCAGTGTGTTCTATATAAAAATGTCTAGTAGAGATTGAGTTATGATTTAACCCAATGTTAAGTGAGTTCTGAGGATTGTGGCTCGTAATAGCTAGTTAAATAACGTGTTCAAGGAGGCAAGAAGAATCGCTACACCTGCCTACCCCATGATAACTGTATACAAGCGGAGTTATTTCTTTGAATATGGAGAATAGGAAACAAGACCAACACAAGAGCTAGACGAGGAGGAACAGAAGTGTATGCATGATCCAGTGAATAAGARAATGAAATAATGGTCTAAATGGCTTGTTTCTGATGAAATAGCATATTGGATGTGAATTCCAGGATCCATCACTTTTTTTCTTCGACCCAGTCTTCGTAAAATTTTAAAATTCTAGCKACATTTAGTGATCAGCCTGATAAAACTGAAATCCGGCGGCCATGCAATTRAATATTGTGAACAGGTGTCTTGATAATAATTATGAAAATTATCTCATGCATATGTTTCAACAGGCTGCGGCTTCAGTTTTAAATTGACTTGCTCTGTGTTTATTTGATTAATTAAGACATTATTTATTTATGCTACAAGCACGTGGCATGTTCTTTTAAACCAGGAAAATGATGGTTCCCATCCCTTGGCACCATGTATAAACATCTGTAACGTAGTTTTTTCTGTCCGGAACAGACTCTGCTTTTCTATAAGACCCATTTCAGTTGTAATGAGTTCATTGTGTTAAATTGTTACAGTAAATTAAAATTTATAAAAGCATTCAATATTGAATGAGATAAATGAATATTGAATGGGAATAAATTAAGTGTAAACTCATGCGCGACCGATGGTTTTTGTTGAACTGTTTTGTAATTAGATGTAGCCATATTTGAATCGATCTTGAGTCACAAATTACACCTAATTAATAATTGATGAGCCATCTTTCATAATGTAAAATACCGGAGTTGGGAGTTTGATAATATTTCAGTGTCGCTATATCTGTGCGCCAGGGGTAATTCTAAAGATGCTACTCTTTCTTGCTAAGTAGCTTGCAAATCTCAATCAAGCTCCAAGTTGAACTTTTATTCTACGGTATCTGATAGTCAGAATGTTAACAAATATTTCATTTTTGTAGGTTAAACTGCAAAATATGTTCGAATGACCTTAAATATGTTAATAGTATTATTGGACACGAATCAAACGTATTTTAATGACAATATTTATGACAGAATGACATTGAATTATGTATAATTTCCAAGACAAATAAACGAACCCATAAAACATATCTAATCTTTTATACGGCTATAACATTACTTGCATGTGATATAATAACTGATATATCAAGGCGTCTGCTTTTCTGATTCACTTCTCTTTATCAACCACCAATAAACCGCACAGATTTACGATATCGCGTAGCCTTAATTGGCCGATTGGCCATTACAAGAATTTTTTTATGAGATAATGGCAAGCTGTAGAGATTTCCCCAAAGCACATAGCAAATCAATGACTATTCAAAAAAGGAAACATCCCACACTAAAGTKCGCTGGCGGTTGCAGCGCGCGCGGTTTTTAAGATCACGTTTTCGCGCGCTTTTTGACCTTTCCGTGAGTATACGCACACTCTCTGCAAATCGAAGCCTTCACGCCRTGAAARCAAATTGKGAATTGATGTAATATGAGMCATCATGTCTAAACTGAAATGAAAGAAATGTAACTTAAGTACAAGATAGGTCTCCCTTATTCTGAGAATATAGCTGATTAAAATGCTAAAAAGTAAACTGACCTTCGCGCTGCATTGTGACTTATATCTCTTTCCATTCCAGTTTATTTCGGTTTTGTTATATTTAAGGCACCATTTATTCTCATTCACGAGTATTTAAAGCTTAAATTAATCTCGAAATAAGAATATTTGTTAAACAGATCAAAAAAGTTATCCGACACACAGATGTTTAGTGGGAAGGCAACTCTGGTGAACCGCGACAACCTCAAGCAATGCTTTATTACTATTCAATGAGTACAAGGATCATAATATAAAGGCTTTTGCTGCGTTAACTTGATTAAAATTGTGTAAAATTTATCAACAAGAGCAAGACAACACAACGTAAAAAGACAAATCGCTACAAAAGGTAAAAGATATGTTAAAATTAAGTTTCTCTTTGTATTTTAAGGTACTAAGTCTATCTTACGCACATATGTATGGGGAGACGGAGTGTCTATAATATTTCTTGTAAAAAAAGTCTCGAATCACTCTCTAAGAGCTTGAAATGTTCAAAGATAATGATTTTAAACGATTATTCCTTACCTTTATTTACCTTTTATATAAGCAAGTATATTATAAAATGTCTAAATACAGAGAATTTTTCACATGATAGAAATTCTATCCATGAAATTAAAAAATCATTCGCAACAAAGTTTAGTCAGTGTACTATATTAAGCACGATTTAGTCACTAAGTCAGGTGAAATCTCTTAAAAACTGTAATAGTTACAGTAATTTTCACGTCGGGAAATTGCGAGGGTTTACCAGATTTATAGCTGTCAATCATTTTTTCGCGAAATAAAAAAAATGGCATTTCTGGTTGATGTGGGCAGCCACAATAATGATTTCCAAACCAACGCAGCTGGATTCGTAGAAAGTGTTTTGCACAAATTTTGATCGACCAATTTTTCTCTTTATTCACAGATGAAGTTTGCGATAATGTTATTCCTACTGGTTTCCAGTATTACCGTATTCGCTGCCACAGGGTACCCAAATTGCAATATGGAATGCTCMGGAACTCTGACACAGTGCCAAGACGAGAAAAAAGAATGTTATGCMATGTTCAATGATTGTATCTCGCGTTGTTATGGAAGTAGCTGGAGACGTTACAAGTTTGTTCAGCGTGGATAGGCTTGGCTGGGTGGCTTGGTTTGGGTCTTTGATGAAATCATGAAAGCTTAAATCAACCGTAGTTCATCAAGAAACTTTTTTGTAGCACAAAACATCAAAATAATCGAGCAACATTATRTAGAAGACAACTGATTATTAATAAAACCAGTACGGCTTCGAGGTTATGATTGGATTTGTAATAATTAAAGGGTAAAAATGAAGGGGGACTATCATGCCCCTATCAACTATGGCAGCTACTGTAAATGCTATTTATATGTAGCTCATATTTTACAGATATCTTGGCATTAAAATTAATATCACGCTCTTCTCAATACAAGTGAATAATGAATATTGCGTCAACTTCTATTTTTCTTTGTCTCTGTGTGAAACAATAAAGTTTAACGGAAGTGCAAAAGCGCATGGCCATCATAACGCTTTTGGATTATTAATTGCTAAGCTGACTTGAAGAGCTTCCGGCTCAGATCGAACTGTAGAACACCCCGCATCTTTCGACAATTCCATCAGAAGAAAAAAGCGATTCGAATTAAGCAATTTCCTTTTTTTAGAAAATCTGAAGGGCTTTGTGTGGCATGGTTTTCACAAAGACAATTACAAATAAATTCAACGAGTGCCACGAATCACAAGCAACTTTAATTCATATTTTCCCTTTATGGTTGCGCTTCGTAGTAAACCAGACTTCAATAAGAATCAAGCTTGGCGAAGTCATGAAAACAAAGTCAAAAGCCTTCCCTTGAATTGCTTTTTTCCGCACACTTTTCAATTCAATATATAACAAAATTAGCGCCGTGCATGACATTTTTGTCAAATCAAATCGCCAAGACGTCCACAGCTTGTACTAAATAATTTAATTTTCTTTAACTTACACATATAAACAGCAAAAGCTTCAAATGATATACGATTACGCTGTAAGGAATCAATATCAMGGGCGTTCCTGTATCGCTTTTGAAATGCGCACTAAGATATAGACCGATATTAGGATAAAAGGAAGTATCATGAATGGTATTACACACCTTATATTTACTCGGCATATTTTCTTTTATGCAATTCACACCTATTCATAAGGGTTTTAATAAAGAAATTAATTAAGAGGCCGGATTTACACCCAGCTTGAATAGGAAGACACAAAGCTACACGTGGATGGAGCAAACATTGTACGTATATAACATAGTTGATTTGAACTATGCTAGCTATTCACAGAAGGACAGATATCGTAAACAATACACACCAGCGTCGAAAAAGGTATGCTATAGCTACTAGTTTCTTAGTTTTCAAAATACGTAGTTTTGTTATTGAAAACTGATGAGATCATTTTAAAGATAGAAGCTCAGTAAACCGATCACTAACTTTGAAATGTTCCTGCTGTAAATTTGAATTGAGAAATGTACTCAGTGTTTATGGTCATAAAACCGCTTTAAACATATACGTTTTGAATGAAATTTTCTCTGTTTATAAGTCATAAATCTCACTGATTTAATTACATTGTACATGAGACAAAGAAGGTACGGCGAAAATCAAAACACACATATTTTTCCCACAAAACATGTATGGCCATCCAAGATACAATAGCGTCGCGGATTTGTTTGAAAAGAAAACTGAAAGGCTGGCGTTTAAGTCCTACGAGGGCAGCGCAGTGTTTTAGTGGTATATTACAGATATTAGACCTGATGCTGAGGTCTAATATAAGTTTAGAAACAGCAGAATTAAAGAAAACCTTTTTAAAAAACCTGGGTTCTTACCACCAATCCCAACCCCCCAAAAAAAGTTTCGTTTACGCCGCCGGGAGCACAATATTAAAATGTTATTCCTAATTTGACGATAATTTCTCAGCACACAAAAGGATTATTAAACCGTAATAAAAGGCAATAGAAATTAATACAATAATTACAACAAGCAAATCAAATAAATCAATTGATATTTACCTTAACAGATGATTAACAAAAGYACAAGCTTCTTGCTGATTTTCGTGGCAGCGGTATTGTTTCAAAGCGCATGCTCAACATCACCAACCAAGCTTGTCAGATCCACTTGCAGTAATATATGTAACCGCGCACATACAAGGTGTTTGCTGTCTGTCTGTCCCACCGACTTGGAATGTGCTAATGTTTGTCAAGAATATATGAATGACTGTTATTTGAAATGTTATGGAAAGAAATAAATGTAAAAAGATACTGAAAAAACAACTAACATTTGCAGGAAATATATGTCACTTTAATATTTTACAATGCCGGCAACACAGGAGGACAACTCCATGATACATCAGTGCAGTAAGCTAAAAGTCGCGAAAACTATTCTCATCAGAGTTTACAACATTGAGTGCGGTCACGAAAACCCGTGAAATAGCTGTTATCAAACACTAAATGATTCGCCATAGAGCGGTTTTAATCAATCCCATAAAATTATATATTTTAGTGTATTAGACCTTATTACAGTTTATCGTGCACTGTTCTATTTGGTGTATCTGAACAAATTATTACGCCAAAATCACAAAGAAAAACAAGCAAAATGGGGAGTTATAGAATGTAGAACGCTAAATTGTATTTCACGTTAACGAAAACAACTCCATGCTAATCTAAGTAATATTATTATATTCTTTTCGCGCCCTATATGCGTTACGCACGAGTGCTTGATAGGTATATGCCCATATTTTACATATCAGCAGCATGCTCATATCAGCTATGGCCGTCGACTTCGGAGCTATGAAAATTAATGTAGAATTCTGCAGTAGAAAAATCTCTACGTTGTCCCGCTTATTTATGTCTCTTCCCTCTGATACAGACACGGAGATGAGAAAGAGCACGATAGCAAGGTATATGAGATGGTTTTAAAGCTTGATTAAACGTTGCCTTGTTTACTAAACGTCAAGAAGCAGCCGTAAAATGCTATATTGCTTACAATGCAAGACAATGTGCTTGCAAGGACAAATCAAATTTGTATAATTTCGCTAGTTAAATACTCACTTAGACTTCGTAGACGTCCGACCACCATCTTGAATCGCATTGTAAAAGCTGACAAACAAGAGTGACCTGGGGACAACTCAACGTGGCGCAGATTTCATACCGTGGGGAACTGGGGCAAGTCAATATGTAATATTAATGATATATTCATTTTTGAAACCAGGAATCCAATGGAATTTAACAGCTGTTCCCATCTTAAGCCCATTGTTCATATTCAGTAAATTAATATCGGATAATTTTAATAACCGCACACTTTTCTGCTGTATAATACCGTGAATTTGATTTTTTTTGTAGTACAAATGGTGCTTGCCGACAAAGGACAAAACATAACGAAAACGATAGTTGCTTGCTCACTACCATAGGTGTCGAACATTTGTGATTGTCTACGCTCTTACAGCCCTTAGCTTCCGCTTTGTCTTGTTTGAAAGCAAAGCAACGAACAGAAGAAACAAAAACACAATTGAATTATGGTCTACCACTGTCAAAGAGAAGACATTTAGCAATATGGTGACTTCATGGTCGTGTACATAACGGTTTTACAGTGACATATAACTACACGCTTCCATATGCCAGCTATAGATACTAAGACTGGGGATTCAGTGAACAATGTGTGTTGTAAAAAGCTCGAATGAGCTCAAAACAAGTGCTATAACCTCAAAGCTTAAAAGGAAAATGATGGGAACTAGCGGTAAACTACTGTGAGCTGCGTCGGTGTTTCTAAAGAAACAGTCGTGTAAAAAGATAAAATCAACACCGTAAAACCATAAAAGGAATAATCATGTTTATATACTGTTCAAAAACTGCAACAAGCAGTTATACAAACCATAGGTGGGTGTTTTGCATTTTAATGGAGGATACCAATAAATGATCACACCTCAAATTTTACGTTACGTGTTAAGATCCGTATTACGTAAGACACTGGCACGTGTTATGCGACACAATATGGCAATGGTGGTCAATTACTTCATATGGTGACAACACCATGCTAGAATGGCCAGAGTTACCCATAAAACGTAACACAACGCTAGAAAAACATTTTTTTTACGCTAACACTGAATAAACATTCAAAAACATAAAAAGCTAAAACGCTGGAAATAATGTTAGTGTTGTATTTCAAGCCCAAAACTTTGTCTTTCTTTCAAATTTCAAAGCTGTGGTCCCTCCTCTTGCTTAGTCACCTCCAACGCACAGTTATATCACCTCAAAATAATCACTACCGAATGAACTAGATTTTTATCCATTTGTGCGTTTTAGATTCTTTAATTCAATTTAAAAATCTAAATAAAAGTACACCGCTTTTGCAATGCGTACAGTTATTACTAAAGCCGCTACCCACTAGAAACTACCATCATTCAACTCTTATCGCGTGGACACTTTCACCGATGTCAAAACAATTTTATATTGGAAACAATAGAAAGATTGTGCTCACTTTTAAAAGCTATAGGATTCATCATTTTCAGTTTCCCACGATAAAGCTGGAATATCAGAGAAACACCTTAATTTCTAAAGTTCGCTGTAATGACTGTACATTTTCCTCTATCGATGATATACAACAAGAGAATAAAACTTAAAGATGACATGACATTATAATCGTGAACAGTATTGTGACTCAGACCTCATGTGGTAATTGTTTTTATATCGATAGTAACCTGAAATTACTCAATTTCGTGGTTGATGATAACCGCAGTATAACGTCCCCCATAACGTCCTTTGTCAGGTATTGTTGGATCGGGTTATAAAAGATGGCTGTTAAAGTGCACACGACAATAAAGAACAAGGTCTTAAGCTGTTCAATTTGTGCTCGTAAAGAGAGGAATCTCTGCCTTATAAGAATACTCAAGTATAACTGAAGCAAAACAGGTGAGGGATTATAAGTTACCGTTGTTTAAAGAGAGTAGACTAGCTAGTAATTCAGATTAGTACATTATACGTTTTATGAGTAGTGAAGTGAAGGTGTGTATATATAATAATCTAACTGATTTTGAGAGAGATTTTGCGTCCAGCTTGAAAATACTATCAATAGTTGGAACAAAAGAATAGTCACCGTTTATGTTATTAATCTTCATTTTGTCACGTTTTTCTTTTTCTTTGTCGGTGAATTGAACTCTATTGCACTTTCGCTTTTACACTTTGCTTTACGAGATAATAAAGAAGCACTCTATTCATTCAAATCAGTCTGGTACAGTCACTCCATCCAGTTGATGGGGTATAATTATAATCAACTATAATTCGTTGTAAAAAATTGTACATAAAGTTCATTCCGATACTCCAGAAACTGAACAATTAAGGTTGCTTCTTGTGTATTAATTTCTCAACCGGTACTTGCCTTCATTAATCATCAAAAACTTTTGTTCCAGTTTTATCAAAACCATTTTATCATTTAYTTTCATTCTACTTTCAGAACAAACAATGGCGGCCATAGTTGTTAGTCTCCTTATCTGCCTCGCTCTCGTGTTCACCACAGGACACCCACTCAAAGAAACACCAGAGAATCATCAWATCAGCGCGAGAACATTTCGTCGGGGTAAAACCGTTGGCACAGTGACAAACGAAAACCCTTGCTTTAACGGCTGCGCCGGGGATGCTTTTCATTGCATGTTTCTGTGTACAGACGCTGGATTTCTTTACACCAACTGCAAACGACAATGCACAGGAGGATCATTCGTAACTTGCTTGAATTCCTGTCTCATGTAACGTCCATGCCGGTCTGTTTCCATTCTTCCAAGCCCTCCACAGCTCTTTTGCTACGTTTAAACATTGTCATTTGGTATATCATTCCTACTTGAACGGCTAGGTTGGAATGGGACGAGCTTGCGATCGAGGCTCATGCGGGATGTGGGTGGATTCTTTTGCAATGCAAATAATCTCTATAATGCTGAAAACGTGCATGAGYTGCGCAAGCTAGTTCCAGTCCAATTCAGCTGCTAACACGAATATAGCTTACTCCACTTTTTTTCTCAAAAATCTCAACTTGAATCACAAATGTAACAACACTAGCTCATTGTAACATAGATCTTGTCGGAAGAGATATAGTGTTATATTTTTGGATTGTAAATTTACGATTCAGTACATTATTTATATAGCAATAAAATCAAGAAAACGTATTCTTGTCATTTGGGTTTTGTGTTTTATGTGTACAGCGGTCTTTGCGATGACTTTATGCGCACAACCTTATAAATATAGAAACTGCGCACATCTGATTGAGGCATTGTTTACACTAGCTTGTGCCCGGGCACTCGTTCTCGGGTATACCGACACTAAAAAGCGTCATATTGAACACGTGTTCAGTTCATACTGCACAATAAAAGTACCCCGCGACGACCAAGATCTGAGCCTTGCTCGGGTACCAGCGCATTCCATGCCCAGGTTTTCGCCTGTGCACCAACCACCAACCACTGAGCTGAAGAGGTTCGTCACGAACCGTTCGAAACGAATCTTGTAAATGGTTCTAAAAACAATAGAAAAATAATGACACTCCTTCAAACAATATAACGAATCCTAAGGAAACAATAGAGGTTTTTTTACTAATGGAGTAATCAAAAAGCAGGTTTCAAAGTGATGGTGACAACTGTCGCAAGCACAAGCTCAAACAGCACCAGAAAGACAGGCAGGGGCGGATTCAGGGGAGGTGTTTTGGATGCGGACGCATTCCCCCCTTTTCGAACGACATAATTTTTTATATATATCAGTATAAAAGTTTTTGTGCTGTTTATACTCGTGTTGTACTTTTATCAAGAAAACGCTAGTAGCATACACAACATGTGTCTGCYTCTATACTGCTTAACAATCTATTTGAGTAATGTAGTCAAAGATACGTTGCAATAAAAGTCAATTTCCTTTCGTTCAAATTGTGCATATTTTTCTTGGTCTAAAAAATACCCAGCTAACAAAAATGATCAGTTCCATCTGCTATACTTAGTTTTTAGGTACTATATATTATTATTACTGACCAACGCACCCCCCCTCCCCCCTTATAAAATGCTGGACCCGCCCCTGGACAGGTGCGTCGTGGGCTATATATTATCATGCACAGTGTCATATATTCTATTTTTAATCGTCTATTTTTATTTGTTATTTTGATTGAAAGAGCTTTTCCTGTCTGCGTAGGTTATTTGTTCTAGTAATCTTTTTGTCTATGATAAGCAGCCTATTACGTACCAGACCATATGGCAACCAAACTATGTATAATTTCATGACCGATCTTAAATATCAAAACGGCTCATATTACAGGCGTTAAAGCATATTGTAGTAACCGTCAATGCAAACATCTTTTGATCTGTGAATCAACATTTATTACCAGCACCTCATTTTACGTTAAAAAAAGGTTGTGTTTTCATCAGGCTCGTTCTGCCATAGACTCATTGTCGTTGACGCCCACACTTTTATGATGAAAAGTTTGTAAAAACAAGTTATGTAATTCAGTTAAGACGTTTCACACTTGACGAGGTATAGTTATTTTCTTCTCTTGTGGTTTATTTTACGTTAGTCTATAGTAACCACAAGAAAGTATTGTGTGTATTTTGTCATCACTGGGGTTGGCTATAAAATGAGGGGTTTAGGCATTAGGACACATTTGTTTTACACACAGGATTGTGACAGTTGCAGTCAAGTAAACTTAGTTGCAGTTTCGGCCAGTGATATATTACTGAAGACACAAGATATATTTTAAAGAGTACTTTTAACTATTAGACTAAGGTAAGTTTCACACCCCTTTTTTTCATTGACTTGTTTCGACATATAGATGTTGAACAAGCTGCAAATGGCCGGCAACACAACTCGGAGATTGTAGGGCGATTTTGAAAAATTTTAACAGAATATGAAATTGAAAAAAAATGTACCACAGAGCTTATTATGATCAGCTAAATCATTGCTATACACCCTTTTAATAAGTCCCGAGTAATTGAGTTCTCCGCACTTGACGTCAAATTTATTCTTTTGAATTTTTTACAATACAAAAGGAATTCAAAAGAATAAATTTGACGTCAAGTGCGGAGAACACAATACCTCGGGACTTACCAAAAGGGTGTATAGCTGTTGTAATCATCAAAACCTACGATCGCAGTCTATCGAACCTCCGCCGGGAAATTTAGCTACAAAACTTATTTCGCTTTCCATCCAAATTTTCCAACTTTCTTCAAAATGTCTTAAGCACCATGCACTCCAAGTGAATTTCCACAAAAATTGTCTCTTAGACCAGCTTTAGACATGTGTATAGAAGTTATATTTCCCCGGGTATTTCTCGGTCCGCCATTTTGGGAGCCTGCGATTTTTTTCAGCGGCTGTTCATAAAAATTAACATGAAAGTGAGTGACTAAATCGTCCCCCTCCAATAACACTTCGATTACTTACGTAATCTCTGAGTTAAAAAGTATAATGTTATTGCCCCAAATTGTTACTACATTTTTCAAATTCACGGGTTGAGAGTGAGTTAAAATATCCCGTAGAATAAATATCACATGGGAGTGTCTCATACACTTTATATCCCTTGTTTTATTTGCATCTATTTTCCACGGATTTAGAGATTGTTTCCAAAAGTCCGTGAAACAGATAATAGACTGATGCACCTCGGTAATATTTTGGTAGATAAATACATAGACGCCTAATATAAACTAATGAGAACGCATAAACTAACGCATCCCGTTTCATGCTTTCTTTCAGAAGTGAGCCATGGCATCTACATTAGTTACTAGTCTTCTTCTCT